CCTGGCAGCACCAATTTCCTTCACAGATGATGGGCACTGAAGAAACTCCTCATGGAGTTTGCTTTCATGTAGCAAGGTTAGCTACTGGGCAAAAGTGCTCTTGTCTTTGACTGTTTACAGTATGCTGTGCAGACTGGACATGCAGGCCCCACAGGAAAGTGACTGCTGAACTTTGCTAAAAAAAAAAGGTAAGATGTCCCTTCGGGTTCCTGCTTCACAAAAGAAACTGAGACATCTGCAGAACACACAAGAAAGGGACTGACAAGCTGTCAATATAGGCAGGACAGTCTTTCAAATCTCCTGCTTCCTTGAAAAGCCTACCAGATACTGTGAACCTGTACGCTGTAGATTGTTGCCCCACGCTGCAGAGGAACTTTGGGTGACTGTCCAGGCAGTCAGATGCCTGTCATTTCTAAAGGTTTTTGGAAGTCACTTGCAATGCACTTTTTGTTTATTTAAATAATATATCTTTCTGGTGGCTTTGATGGAGCTGAAGACTAGATAGTTATAGTTGCAGTTTTCCTTAGATATTATAGAAAGTTAGATATAAACATTGAATTCACTAATATTAGGATAATGCATTATTTTCTCTGAATATGATAACTACAAATGAATAGAATACTGTAGATTAATTCTTACTTGGTAACTTTTTGTTGTATATACTTTTACTATGCTAAAGATAAAACCTTATTTTTATTGAGACAAAAAGGGGGAAATGTGGTAGAATATCATTTTAAGGTGTGTGTGACTTTTGTTTATGCTGCCATTTGTTTAACTCTGTGTAGCTGTGATTCTTTGCTTGTATAAAACACCTGATGGTCTAATTAAAGAGATGAATGGCCAATAGTGAGGCAGGAGCAAGGATAGGTGGGGCTGGCAGGCAGAAAGGAGAAATATGAGGAGCAAGAGAAGGCAAGGACAACATTAGGGGCCAGCTACCCAGCAATCCATGGAGTAAGAATAAGCTTTACAGAAGTAAGAGAACAGGAAAAGCCCAGAGGCAAAAGGTAGATGGGTTAATTTAAGAAAAGCTGGCTAGAAACAAGCTAAGGCCAGACTTTCATAAACAAGAATAAGCCTGTGTCTGATTCATACGGGAGGGCCCCCCAAAAGAGAAAAAGCATCTTATTTCAAATTTAAAGGCTGTCCTCACAGCGATGACAGCCTACCCCTCTCCCCCAATCTAAGCCTTGGAGCCATTACTCCCCACAGTACGGAAGTTCACTAAATCAGCAGTGTCCAAATGTGAACCTAAGTCACTTGCTGCCAGGATCTTTATTCCCTTGAGAACCGCCAGTGACCAGGGTCTGCATCATCTTAGACTATGAAGGGGCAGGGCTGAGTAAACCTATTCTGTCAGAGGTACACTGGGAATATCCTAAGGCCAGTTGGGAAACATGGTTAGAAAAAAATAAATAAAAACCAAATGATCCAGAGTTAAGGAAGGCATTTAGGCCTGAGCTAGAGCAGTCTACATATTTCAGTAATGCTCTAGCTTGTACCTGCTGTTACTGACCTGTTTTTCCGGGCTGGCTCCTGCCTAGGGAGGACAGTTGTGACCCACCCTGAGGATTGAATCAACCCTGACAATTTACAGAATGGGAAATGGATCAAGCAAACAGGACTTGGATTGGAGTATGGATTTTTTAAGCCTTCAAAGTGGGAATTACTTTCACCTTGAATCCCATTTTTCTGATGAAGAAACTGGACAACTAGTCTAGCTCACAGAGTTGGTAGGATATCAGGTGGAGGGCTACACTGACCTCATAAACAGGAAGCCCAAAAGGTAGAGGCCGCTGGGCGAGCCATACTGGGGGGCGGGAGAAGCTGCTGTCCCCACTGGTGGCTGCTGGCAGAGAATGGAGCATGGCTGCTCTAGCTTCCCAAAGATCCTCACAAGAGTCTCAGCAAAGAAACTCAGAGAAAAACAAAACAAAACAAAAACCAACAGAAAATACCAAACTTCAAACTTTTAGTTACATGCCAAAACATGTTTGATTGCCGTTTTTTAAAAAAGAGTTCTCTGAAATTTCATAGAAAATGAACAGGGAACAAACTTCCTGGGAGAGTCGGTGAGAAACCTTTAACCCTGGCTAAAGATTAACAACGGCAATCATATTAAATGGGAAAGCAGGTTGTTGGTTAAAATGCTGCTCTTTGGGGATGTTAAGCCAAGGGCCAGGGCTGGGGCCATAGCTCAGCGGCTGAGCACTACTTGCCTGACTCTGTTCCCAGCCCTGGAGATGGAGATGGGAGCTTACTGTACAGTTGGCTATTTTAGGGCTGGGCAGGTGGGAAATAGCCGAATAGCGCTGCTGTGGTCCACGGTTTGGGGCTTCTTAGGGTTCAGACATGGGGCTTTCCATGCAGCATCAGACTGCTAAATCCTGGTGGCCTCCTGAGCTATCTTTCCCATGTTCAAAGTGACAGCCTGGACAGTTCTGTCCTTACCACAGTTTCGGATGTAAGAGGTAGTATGTCTGTAAGAGACAATCATGCTAAATCAATGTCAACTATTTACCAACTTCTGTTTAGTCTTTAGTTAGTCACCTGCCCCCAGTGGTTCATCCTTATGGTCATGGTCATTCAGGAGATTAAACCATAGATAAGTTAGATTCTGTGAAAAGAATTACTAGTTCAAAGAGCATGGAGAGATGGCTCAGTGGTTAAGAGCACTTACTGCTCTTCCAGAGGACCTGGGTTCACTTCCCAGCACCCACCCACATCAGGTGGCGCATACCTGACTGCAACTTGCACATAATCTCATGCAGCCCGAGACACATGTCTGTAAAATAAATGATAACTTTTAATACGAGCATGTCCAGTTGTAATGGATTCGTGCTGCCAAGTTCTTACTTTCAAGGATGGTGCTGGATACAGATGTGGGCCCTGCCCCCATGCCCCATGCAGATCCATCTATTAGCACTCAGGTGACAAGGCAATCTTTTTCATGTTCCAGTCCTCAAGATCACTTCTGAGCCTGGGCTGTTTAAGCAGTCACCCAGAATAGCGTGAAACCATATTCAATTAAAAAAACATTGATCTCTACTTGAGATGGTAGTACTACCCAACAATTAAAAGAGTATTTTGGACATATTCAGTCAAATGATTTACCACTCGGTGCTTGCTTAGCAAGGACAAGGCCCTCATTTTGGTCCTCAGCCTGGGGGGTGAGGAGGGGGAAGAGACAGCTCACACAGTACATATATACCAAAGTCGGAAGTGATGTAACAAATTAATAGTATCAACTAAACAGCAAATTTGAACTTTGTACAGATAAGTACCTAGGTGCGCACACACACATATTCAATAAGTGATATACAAACTTCACACACTGATAGATTCCTAACAGTGAAGTTTTGCTTTCTAATGAATAGCTACAAAAAAAAAAAAAAGAACAAAGCAGACTATTATGGACTTCTTACCTTGAACTCCAAACCACACATTGGCTTATCCACAGCTAAAGGCACTTTGTTCACACAGCTGAAGCTGCCATTTCTGAAGCGATAGTCAGATACTTTGTTTCATTCTCAGGCATCAAAAAGCAACAGTCACAAGGTGTAGGTCATTATGGCCTGGAGGTCTTCACAGCTTTCTTTGCAGGAAGTTAGGAGGGTAAGGGGATGTTCCCTCTTAGCCAGTAGCGTATTATGGGAGTTTTCACCAAACTTTTACAGAAAACTAAATGCACTCTCTACGTTTTGCAGACCTTAGGCTGCACCCCACACCTAACATTTGAATACACAGATGAAGCAATTCCTTATCAGAGCTGGATGGGAACTGACAAACTCTTCCCAAACTGTCATCTCTGTAAATACTGCGGACTGCGGTCCTGAAGGGAAAGAAGGGGAACCTGAGGTCCTGGGACTCCCTGTGGAATTTCCATTTGTCCTCCAAACAGCTCTCAAGCCTGAGCCCAACACTGTAGGAGCCACCTAGTCCCCTTGTCTACCTGTGTGCCTGCCCCCTCCTCCCTCCTTTGCCTGGAAATGGACAGAGATCTAGACAGTGGCTCTCAACTTTCTTAATGCCGTGACCTTTCAATACAGCTTATGCTGTGGTGACCCCCAGCCATAAAATTACTTAGTTGCTACTTTGTAACTGTAATTTTGCTTTTATTAATCATATGTAAACAGCTGATGTACAGCCCCTTGTGCGAGCCACAGATTAAAGGCATTCAAAATAGGTGGAGCAAAAGAGGAATTGGGAGTGTGAGAAAACTATAGAGAAAGGGTCTTGGGTAAGTGTAAGTACCCGAACTCTGAAGTCCAGCAGAGCTAGGCTTTGCCATGAGGTCTCTCAAAAAACCTTCACTGAGAGCACACTGGTGGAAACTTTATCCTCGGATTGCCTTGTTCTCCCCCTGGCCAGTTGTGACACTCTAGGCGGGTTACTCAACTTCTGAGCCTCAATTTTCAAATCTGGATTATGGAGAGAATGTCAAGGACTTGGCAGCATTGGATAAACTCAAAAGTCAGATCTAACCCAGCAGACACAGACCTTATAATGTGGTCATTGTCATTCTTGGGCTGTAGGACCTGCGATGCTCTGTAATATGATGCAGGTCCCACGGATCTACCTGGGGCACATGGGTCCCCTGAAGAGATTATGAGCTGGAGGGCGGTCACCAGGTGGTCTCCTCGCGGACCTCCCGGTTCCAGCTTCTAGGAGCCACCTGGACACCTGGCAATTGAGCGCGTCCATCCGCGTGGAGACCGTCCCCCGGCAGCCATCTTGACTGCATGCACCCAGCAAGTTTCGTCACGCGGTGGTTGGGGACGCGTGGCAGGATGCGTAATGCGCCCTCCCACTGGGGGAGCGAGACAAGCTCCACGCGGGGCCCTCCCTAGCCCCAGGCGGGATCTGAGGACCCACGAGGTCTCCGGGCGCAGGCACCCATCCCAGGTATCCCCAGCGCGCGCAGCGGACCCCGCTGGTCCCTCCTCCGCGGAACCCGAGACCGAACCAGCCCGCGCGCCCCGCAGTCCCCCGCCACTCACCGCCTCCCCGGTAGCTACCCGCACCGCTCGGTCCCGCTCGGCGCCACCTCCCGCTACCGGAAGAGCCACGGTCCCGCGCGCCGCCCCCAGGAGCGCGGCCCTGACGCGCGCTCACGACGCGCGGCCCCGCCCAGAGGCTCCTGCCTCTGCCTCGGCGTCACTTCGGCGGCTGAGCTCCGCGCTCTGTGCACGCCCCTCGTGCCCGCGCTTCTGCTTCTGGCCGCACTAGGAACGCCCAAGTCCATCTTCGCCGCGCTGTGCGGCCCAGGTCAATCAATACCACTGTAGTTCAGTTTCGTTTCCCTTTGGAGAACACCGGTCTTCATTGCTTTCTCCACGTCGTCCAGTTACCCGCTCCTTCATTCATTTGGGTCAGGGTTTCTTAAAATGTGGCGTTTGGCACAACCGTCGCTATACGGAAACTTAGATGATACACGTGCCACCACCTCATTTATACCTTCAAAAAGTCACTGGCTGCTACACTGAGACCGGACCATAGGGGACATGCAGACCAGAGGCCTTTTCTGGAGGCTACTGAGTTTGGCCAGAAAGAAATGTCGGTGGCAGACCACCTTGGACTAGGTGGAGGGATGTATTAAATCCTAGACGCATTTTGAAGGCCAGCAGAATCTGGCAAATGACGAATTACATTCTGTGCATAGGTAGAACTCTCTCTCTCTCTCTCTCTCTCTCTCTCTCTCTCTCTCTCTCTCTCTCTCTCTCTCTCTCTCTCTCTCTAGCAAGGTGACTATCGAATATACATACATATATGTATATATATATATGTATATATATATATGAGAAAATAAAGAGCCTAAAACAGCCAAACCATTTTTGAAGGAGTACATTGTCCTCCAGTTACAAACTTTGGCACAGAGCAATGGGAAAAAAGGGAGGAAGTGTGTTTGTACCAGGACCAACAAGGAGCCCCATTCAGCCAAACAGACAAGCCAGACCCCATGGAAAGAAGGTCACCATGGAGAGATGGGAAAGAGATCACACTCCTGGCTTCTGCTTGCAAGGTTGGACCAAGAAGCCCCTGCTAACACTGTAAAGAAAGGCAGTGTTCCTTCTGAATGTGCAGGGGGGATGATGTGACCAAGCCCCCCGATCAAATTTCATACCAGTGGATATGAAACAGCTGCTGGCTTGGAGCCCGCTGAATGTCATGTGAGCCACTGCTTCAAGCTCTCGCTGCCTTGACTTCCCCAATGTGATGAACTATGCTTTCGAACTATATCCTAAAATAACCCCTTTCTCCCCTGGGTTCCTTTTGTCAGAATGTTTATCACAACAACTGTGGAGAGCTGCGCCACGCCGCGCCCTAAAGATGGCGCTGGCTTCCGCCTTCCACCATCCCGCCAGTGAGCGCTCTCAGTGATAAACAACTCCTTATTTGGTGTGCTCCCATCCCACCGGGATCACGCCGTGATCATCAGACTGCTTATGCATGCTACTGAGCCTGTGGTTTGCACACACATGGCTGTTTAGGGTTGGCTGGCCTTGGCTACTTAAGGGCAGGAGGGGATCGCTTGGGGGCTGCCTCGGCATTGTTCATCAAGGTCCTGAATAAACCACTTGTGAGAAGGATTCCTGAGTCGCGTCTTCCTTGCTGGTCGAGGTGGTCTCGACAAACAACAGAAAAAGAAACCACGACAGTTCCCATGTTAAAACCTGGTCTAAGTCAAGAAAACAGTTTGTCTGTTACTGCATGGCTCACTGTACTATGCTCATTAAAATGTCCCTTCCTACTTAGTACTGGTTTGTGTGAATTCTTTTACTGCCCACCAATCTCCCACATTAGATGTGGCTCTTGAATGTACTGTATCACAAGACGGGGAAAAGATAGGTATTTACTCAACATACCATGATCAATGGAATTCCTGCCTTAGAGAACATAGAACTAATTGCAGGCACATTCATGGACTAAGATGGAAAATAAAACACTGAGAAATATCTCACAGACATTTTGAATGGTATGCATTATTCTCAGAACACCTGTCTATCCTTAGTCTGATTACTAGATGGACTAAAAACAGGATTGAGAAGGAAGCAATGACCTGATATCCTGACTGGTTTTATGTCAAGTTGACACAAGCTACACAAGTCATCAATGAGGGAGCCTCAGTTGAGAAAGTACCCCTGTAAGGTCAGGCTTCAGGCAAGCCTGTGGGACATATTCTTAATTAGTGATTGATGTGGGAGGGTTCCACCCATTGTGGGTGGTACCACCCCAGGCCTGCGGTCCTGGGTTCTATCAGAAAGCAGACTGAGCAAGCCATGAAGATAGTAAACCAATAAGCATACCCCCATGTCCTCTGCATCAGCCCTGTCTCCAGGTTCCTGCCTTCTTTCGGTGATGAATAGTGATATAGAAGTGTAAACCAAATAGACACTTTCATCTCAAAGTTGCATTGAACAAAGTGTATCATCACAGCAATAATAACCCTATCTAAGACACCCAACAAAGTATACATACACACCCAACAAAGTACACACACAGAGAGAGAGAGAGAGACATACACACACAGACACACATACAACCTTACAAAGAACTAATGGGCTAAAAGAGAGATAGCAAACATGTATCTAAGATAAATGGTACTAACCCAGTGTAAAAGTTGTAACAGTAGAATTTCTAACTTGACATCTTTGCAACAGTATCTGTAACTAAGTGCTATGCAAGCCAGATAGGGGCCACCAGGTTGGCTGCAGAGCAGAAGGCACAGTAGATACAACCCCATCAGTTTTCTGTTGCTAAACTAACCACATATCATAACTTCATAACTCCAGGCTCTTTTCCTAAGTCTATGGTTGGCTGTGCATTTCTGTTTCTTTGAGCTTCTTTCCATTAGCTTACTCATTTACCCCTAGGTGGCCCGTGGTTTTGCTCATCTCTGCATCTGAGGCCTTAGCAGCAGAGTCCAAGACTTAAAACACGTACCCTTGCACTTCTGCTGCAGTCTGTGGGCTCCAAGCAAGCAACAGAATGATCACACATTCAGGAGAAAAAGATCCCATCCCTGCCAAGCAACATCGTGCAGGTGAAGAATTGTTGTCCCCCAGATCTTGTCGCGCTCTCTTTGCCCTTTCAGCCCCTGGATTCTTCTGGGAATAGACCCTCCCCCTCCTCCCACTTGATCTGGTCAGGTGATCACGAGTGGGGCTTTCTCCTCTCAGACCTGCCTCAGCTGCAGGTACATGACCCACACTGGGTCAAACAGACTCATGGCCTGAATTTGTGTTACACACTGCGAGAGACGCGTCGCTCCTCTCCAGCCACACAGGAACACAGACCGGGAGTGCTGAGCTAAGAGGGTCTGAATCAAGGGAGACAAGTTACCCCTTTTGCCATTAGAAGTGAACATGCTGAAAGACGGAGTGATCGGAGGGCATGTCAGACCTTGGCCCAGCCAATCCTGAAGCTAGGTCTGTCTCTGGGCTTCTGGTTATAGGGACAAGAAATCTGTCCCTCCCCCACCCCATGCATGTCTTTTGAGTTGGATTTTCAGCCCTAATTGGTTGGGGATTCATGGCGAAATCTGATGTGAACAGAACTGAATTTGAAAAAGTAGAAGGCATGGGTGGGCAAAGGAGGAAGAAACGAGAGGAGGCATTAGAATAGAAAGTGGTGTTTTCAGCGTTGTTTTCAATAGGTGGGTTTTGTTGTTTGCTTTCCCCAGAAGTAGCTTTGGAGAGACTAAGCTGCCTTGAATGCTTGGGGAGTTTTGCTCTCCCACACTGCTGAGCCCTGTGAAAACTTTGCATTCGAATGGACTTTGAGCCACTCAGGGCATAGCCTAGCCAAGCATCCATGAAGTCAGCAACATTGGGGGCATCATAAAGTGATCAGAGCAAAGATGTCCCTGCATGCAGCGCCGTGCCACGGTCCCAGCACGTGATGACCACTCCCTGAGAATCAGCTCTGTACCTTTCATGAACACTTTCAATTCTGGATCATAGTGCCCAAGGTAGTTTTGATGAAAAAAGAAATATATGATCGTATAACCTTGATGTCCTAGTTAGGGTTGCTATTTTCGGTGATGCAACACCATGCCAAAAGCAACTTGGGGAGAAAAGGGTTCATTTGGCTTATACTTCCACATCACTGTTATTATCAAAAGAAGTCAGGACAGGAACTCAAGCAGGGCAGGAACCTGGAAGCAGGAGCAGATGCAGAGGCCATGGAGTAGTGCTGCTTACAAAGGCTTGCTCCTTATGCTTTGCTCGACCTACTTTCTTGTAGAACTCAGAATCACTATCCCAGGGATGACCCCACCCCCACATCAATCACTAAGAGAATGTCCTACAAGCTTGCCTAAAGTCCAATTTTATGGAGGCATTTTCTCAGTAAAGGCCACCTTCTGTCTGATGACTTGCTTGTGTCAAGTTGACGAAAGTATCCAGCACACTTGATAAGTATGGGAAGAGAACATGTGCACTTTCAGCAGGACCTATCAGAATCTCCTGCCAGAGTTTTAGTATCTTTCTGTAAACTGAAGTTACAGAAAAGAGTTTAGTATCTTTCTGTAAACTAAAGCCACACCTGTGTTAATAATCCACACGAGGATGGCTGGCTGGTTAGAGGTTTGCAATTACACAGAGTAGAAATGTTGCAGGAACAGACCCCAATTAACTTTAGTCCTGTTAATAGCCACTGATTAGCCATATCGAGTAAAAGCTTTACGAATGCAAAGAATGCTCAGATGGTAGCTGAAGTCTATAGCAGAGACTTCCCTACTTTGCTGTGACCATCTAACTGATGTTTCTACCAATGTGCTTGAAATATGTTGTGGTTTGTGACTTTCTTTTGTTCTGTAATTGTCAGAAAATCTTGATACAGTCTCCACATTGCACATGTTATTTGGGGCAAACTAAGTCTGTGTTTCTGGGCCATGGTTGCTCATATTTGACTCAAAAATGAGCTCCTCTTATTTTCTTTGAGGTAAGGGCTGTACTTAAAAAGGTTAGTTAATTAATTTAGAGAGAGAGAGAGAGAGAGAGAGAGAGAGAGAGAGAGAGCCTGCACAAATTTATGTGCACCATGTGCTTGCAGTGCTTGCAGAGGTCAGAAGAGGGTGTCAGCTTACGTGGAGCTGGAGTTAAAGGCAGTTGTGAGCTGTTCAGTGTGGGTGATGGGACCCAA